TTGAGATTTTTATCCATCCTTCTAATGAATACTCCAAGGTGGGACATACCAGACTAGTTTGGTTTGGTTTGGTTTTCTTAATTGAGATTTTTATCTATCCTTCTAATAAACCTGCATTTTGCATCTTTGTTTATTTGCCCAATTACTAATTCGATATCCTGATTTCACTATGCAGATTCTATGTTGCTGAAGTCCTTCTTGCCCTCGAATACTTGCATATGCTTGGCATCGTATATCGGGACTTAAAACCAGAGAACATTCTTGTTCGAGAAGATGGTCACATCATGGTCACAGACTTCGACCTTTCGCTTCGGTGTTCCGTGAACCCAACTCTCCTGCAATCACCTTCATCGGGTACGCTAGAACCACCTAGGGTGTCTGGCCCATGTGCTGGTTCTAGCTGCATAGATCCTTTTTGCATTAAGCCCACCTGCCAAGTCTCATGCTTCAGACCCCGAATGTTACCTGCACCAAAAGGCCGGAAAACAAAGCTCGATCCTGCAGCATTTCAGCGGTCATTGCCGCAGCTTGTGGCCGAGCCTACAGAAGCACGATCCAACTCATTCGTTGGGACCCACGAGTATTTGGCTCCCGAGATCATCAAAGGAGACGGCCATGGGAGTGCCGTTGATTGGTGGACGTTCGGTATCTTCCTTTACGAGCTTTTGTATGGAAAAACACCCTTTAAAGGTTCAGTGAACGATCAGACGTTAGCCAATGTGGTTTTGGAGAACCTTAGGTTTCCAGAAACCCCACTCGTTAGTTTTCAAGCTCGAGATCTCATTAAAGGGTTACTAGTGAAAGAGCCTGAAAACCGACTGGGGTCACAGAGAGGGGCTGCGGAAATCAAACAACACCCTTTCTTTGATGGCCTAAACTGGGCTTTGATACGATGTGCATCTCCACCTGAGTTGCCTGAGCCGTACGATGTCTCGGCTTCTAAGGCTGCGGCTTTAGAGAAAGCAAAGAAGTATCTGGACTACGATGGGTCTTCTGGAGGACACCTGGAGTTCGAGTTATTCTAGCACCTTCCGGTAACTTTGCGGTTTCTGGAAGAATATCGATGATTACTTTCATTCTCTTGACGAGTAGTTGTCGCAAAAACTGTTGGAAGAATATCAATGATTACTTCCGTTCTCTTGATATGGCGGCATTGAGCTAGCGGTGGTGGCAATTGAGGATCGGATAATTTGGTAGCTGTTTTCCGCAAACAACGGCGCCATGGCGGGAACCTTAATCGAAGAAATTGTACACGTTATCGGGCCGAGTTTTGAAATCGTTAATCGGCGAAGTTGTACAAGTTACTGATTAGAAATATGAAATTTTCGACACATTTGCAGGACAAGTGTCGAGAGTTGTTGAGCATAATTTGTAGCTTATTTCAAATGGTGGTGCTCAATCTTTATTGAATCAACAGATGGTGTTAACTTATACAAGGTTGGGGGTACATTTGGTGGTATCATAAGGAATCAGACATGAAAGAGTGAGGTTGAAAGAATTGGGGTTTAATTTGACATGAATTTATTAGTAATTCATCAAGAGGATTTATGTACTGAGAATGTAAAAGAGGTGGGGTTTTTTTTAACCAGTGGTGTCTGATTGATTTGAGTTTGGTTCCAAAGGTCAAAAGTACCAGAAGGTCTCAGGTTCAAATTCAATGAATAATAAAAATCCCCTTGTGGCCACGGAGGTTCAAATGCAGGTGGTCGCCCTGAGATTAGTCGGCTCGCATAGCGGGTTGGATATCCATGTTAATAAAAAAAGTGGGTTTTGATGTTGGTAACGTAAAAATCGAGTTATGATGTTGATGTATGTGGATAAAATTATTAGGTAGGGGCAATGTACAGGGAGGTGCAATTAGAGCCTCTACTATGTGTTTTTTGAGAAATTTAAAACTACAGAGACGAAATCCGTAATTTTTAACAAACCATAAAAACAAAAAACATAATTTACTAAATAAACGTGTTTACATAAATTTTTACATTTATTTTTATAAAGTTAAAAGTGGAACCCTATTCTTTTGAAAAAGCTTGACTGAGTTTTTAAGTTGTTGAATTGACGATAACGTGTATGGAAAAAACTTGGCGAAAAACTCATGAGTTGGTATAGACATAAGGGTGTGTTTGGTATAAATAAGACAACACGTGGTAGAACAGTTGTTCAATTTTAGTAAGAAAAAACTGGATAAAATATAACAAATCAATTTACTTCTACTGAGTTGTTTATGTCTTTTATATATGTTGATTAATTTATATGAATTATTAAATCATAACAAAAAAAATGTTTTTTACAACAAAATATATGATTAGAAATTTTTCGTTAAAATGACACAAAAATAAAAGGTTTATATAGTTTCAATATTTATTTTATACATTTTCTATGTTATTTTTTTATTACTAATATTTAACAAATTACATAAATTAATTAAAATACAGAAAAAATATAAAAAATATATTCTGAGAATGGTAAAGTAAAGTTTAAAATTCATAAAATATAATAAATAAAAATTAAAGAAGGAACTAAGAAGCCGTTTACTAAACGCTTACCTGTTTACCGAGTAATTTTCCTTATTTGATGAACATGTCAAGTGTCAAAAATCTTATCCGGTAAGAGCAATGATAAAGATGAAGAGTTTTACTCGGTAAGTGAGAGTGACGACTCTTACTCAGGTAAGTGCTTACCGGGTAATTGCATACTCTACAATTTTAATATACTACAATCTTACCTAGTAAAATAAATTTATAGTGTTGACTCCTAAGGGTAAATGCTTACTGGGTAAGCATTTAGGTAAACAGCCTCTTAATGTAAAGATGGAGATGTAGTTGATGTTTTAGAAGATAATAAAATTTTATTTTGAGGTTATATCGATAAAGTATATGTCTGTTTCCACCTTGTTCCTTTGGGTAGGCATGAAACACGTCTGTTTCACTTTGTTTCTGTCTATTCCACATAAAAGTTCTGTCAATGGTAAAACTGTGATCTATATCCTCAAAATACATTTTTATCCCACTCAGTCTTGTACTGTTCAGTCTAATATCGCATCAAACATAAAAAACTTTGTATTATCTTGTTTTGTTCTGTATACCAAACACAACAAAAATAAATAAATTAACCAGAAACATAAAATTAATTGTCGGTTTTTATTATACTTGAAATATAAAATGACACCAAATTTGAATCATATTATTAACCCATATATAATAAACGGGTCGTTATTTGGTTCTAAACGGGTCGTTATTTGGTTCAATGGGTCGACCGGTTAAACCGGTCTAGTACTTGAAATTGGGTTTTTGAAATCCATTGAACCGCTCTTGTTCTCTCCTCATCTTTGCAAACACCGACAACACAGCCATCGTCCGGTGACTCTACTCGACGGAACCACCACAACTGCAGATCCACCGCCACCTTCTCCGTTCACGGTTCCTTCCTCTGCTTCCAGCCAACTTCTCCTCCTCTACCTATATCAAGTAATTCTTAATCTCTTACAATCTTTCGAAAACCTCTAAATCGCCGATTCTTCCAACATTTTTGATTATTTTGTTATTCCTAATGTAGAAGTCAGAGCCTCACTATTTAATTTGAACTTTACATCACTTCTTTTTTACTTGTTTGGTTTAATTTGAAGTTGAGTGCTGAAAACCCTAATTTTGAATTTGAAACCCTTGATTGCTTTTTGTTTCATAGATGATTTCTGTTGTTACCTTGTTTAGTTATGATATTTGGTATTGGATTAATCATTGCAGTCAGAAACATGCCTAAGGTGAAGACAAATCGCGTCAAGTACCCGGAGGGTTGGGAACTCATAGAACCTACACTTCGTGAATTACAGGGAAAGATGAGAGAAGGTTTGGCTTATCCCTCTAGACTACTTGCTTAAATTGCAACAATGTTTATTGATTATTTGATGTCACCTTAAGATGTAACATTTCATAGTTATAATCTCTTTATAAATGAACAGCTGAGAATGATCCACATGATGGGAAGAGAAAATGTGAGACCATGTGGCCTATCTTCAAAATTGCACACCAGAAAAGTCGTTACATCTTCGATCTTTACCATCGTAGGAAAGAGATTTCCAGTGAACTGTATGAGTTTTGCTTGGATCAAGGGTATGCCGATCGTAATATCATTGCCAAATGGAAGAAGGCAAGATAGTCTTTCATATTTAGTTTTTCATAGACATTTCCTGATGTTTACCTGATGCTCTGCTTCAAAAAGAAATCAATCTATGGCCCCTATGATTATGAACATTAGTTGTGTAACTACAAATAGCCAATAAGATGTTGTCAAACAAACTGAGTTTTTGAAGATCTTTTAGTATATTGAATCATTATTGTTGAATAATCTTTAAGACCAAATCCACACCCCAAAAATATGGTTATGCTATTTGTGTCAAAGATGAGACCTCAGAAAGCAGAGATGTCCTCTTTGTTCTTATTCAGGGTTAAATATTTATAGGAAGTGGTCTTCATGGGGGAGCAGGTGCATTTTACTGTAAAAAACTTAGCATCATACACATTAGCTTCTCTATTTTTTTGTACATTGGTCTTTGACACCTTTAGCCCATCTAGTCCATGGGAGCCTCCCATGTGGGGTTATTTAGAAGAATAACCTTTTTGACATATTCTTTTTAAATGCATGATCTTCTGACATATTTTAACGCAATTTTTGTGTTGGGAAGATGCATTATTTTGTTAAACAGAGACATTCTTAAATCTTTCAAAAGGTTATTTTTCTAAATAGGCCTCTCAGCGGTGGGTGTGACCCCAAGGAATCGGTATCACTTAGTGGGAATAGTAGAAAATGAGATTTTTTTAAGTATATGTAATTTAAAAACAAAAAATACTCATACAAACTCCTCACATTTGGTGATGTTTTAATCCTTGACTTCCAGGGAGGTTGGAATCTTACCGGATACCGCTGGGCAAAGTCCCTTTGGTACAACATGAGATTCGATGCTTCATGATTTGCCACTAGACCAACCCCTTTTCGTTTTTCCTTTGCCTTCAAAGATGAGATAAGTTGGTCAATAGTGCTGGTATATATCGATTAGAATGTGTCTCTAGTTGAAGGTGTAGATATTTGTGAGATCTTCACGAGGCTGAAATTGTCTTTTTATCATTAACTCTGTGTGTTTGAAAACATACATTTTCTACGAAAAGCATTCTCATGGTTGGTATTGAATTTCAGCCTGGGTATGAACGACTGTGCTGTTTACGTTGCATTCAACCACGTGATCACAACTTCCAGACAACGTGTGTTTGTAGAGTGCCCAAGCACCTGAGGGAGGAAAAGGTAATCGAGTGTGTGCATTGCGGTTGCAAGGGCTGCGCAAGTGGAGATTGATTACTTAACATCGTTCTAAATGGAATATCTATCTATCTATTAGGTAAATCCTAACGCCCTTGCGTTTATTATTCGCAAACCTCGAGTCGAGAACTGTTAACCCTGTATTTTGTAGGTAAACTATCTGGTTTAAAATGATCATGTCATGTACTTTTCAATTAGATGGAAAACAATTTATGCCTTTTTGTTACTGCACCTTTTGTTTACCTGCATGTTGCAACTTGAAGTAGCGATGCTTTTATTTATTTCTTTTATTTTTATTTATTTCTTTTATTCAAAAATTTCAACATGTCATTTTATATTGTCATTTAGCTTATCAACTTGTTACCATAAGTGACTAGATTATCAACTAGCTTATTAGTTGGTTTCTTGAACATAGCTCATATGTCTTGGTCGAAACACGTGCACCGTAGTACCGAAGTTCTGGATTGGTCCAAGTTTTCCGGTTAAAGGAGGGGGCTATTCCAACTGGATTAGGGACCAAAACCAAACCCGAGTCTAAGGGGTTGTCTACCAAAACGCTTACGGAAAAAAAGTCCCCACTTACTTATTAAAGGTAATATTCTTGGCAATCAAAATGGATTGTTGGTAACTGTCTTTTAATTTGTAAGAACCGAGTCTCGTCCTTCATTTATCTCAGTCCTTGCTATGCCTCTTACCGGTAAAATTCTCGGTCAGTGTTCTCATAACGCTTACAAAGTAAGCACTTGTTAAACAGTCCGTAAGCTCGATTAGGACCGAACTCGTTTTGATAAGGACCGAAACCAAAGCCCAGTAGTGTTTTCGAAGAGGGATTGGCGATTTTAGGATGAGGCTTTGGGCCGTCCAATGTGAAGCAATTTATATTCTTGTCAACCAAGGCCCATAAGTTGAATTTGGTTTCTAAATTTGATTAAACGCAAATTGGATCAAACGGTAAGAATTTGATTTGTGATTAAGAATTAAGCCGATGATGATCATGTTATAAAAAAAATTAGAAATTATAAGTGTTAATTTATACTATATTATAAATCATTTGCCAAAAACTTTTAAAAATCATTCTTTATGCATGAAGTACTGTTTGTTAATGCATATTATTTAAAATTTAAGATGACAAGTAAATTGTGCGTAAGTATAACTTATTAAAGCTCAATTTTTGAATTCGTATAACTAACTGTCGATAAACATAATCAAATATAGGATAAATATTTTATTTTAAATATTAAAAAAAATTAAAATATAATTAGGATAATCATTGACTTCTAGCAGAATTATTATTTTTATAAAAATTATATTGTTAAGTCAAAAATAATTTGTTTTGTTGTTACATCTAAATTAAATTATAATAAAAAATTGAATTAAAAAAATTATAAAAAAATGAGAACTTTTAAAAAGTTAATTTGATATTAATATCGATATATTTTTTTTAAATATTTATGATATTTTCAATTTTATTTATATTCAAAAGTAAAAACATTATCTTTATCAAAACCACATAAACCGTATTATATATCAACAAAGACAAAAAAATAAAACGAAACATTAAAATAAAGATCTATCTCGCTACATCACGTGAAAATCCTTTTAGGATGAAAACAGTAGTTTTCAAAAATTAAAAGCTACTTCCAAAACAATTTTATTAAAAAAATATATATTTAATACATGATGTCATGTAATATGGAACTGTTTCTTAAAATAAAAAAATTATATTAAATTCTGTTGCAAGCAAATTCATTGACTTTGCAATTTGATATTTTTAATATTTTTGGGTTCTAATTATACACATCTAAATGAGTTAAGACATTGTAATTAAACTAATGGGTTGTTTACTTGAGACTTAATTAAGTTTATTGGTCTATCAGGCTTATTCGCATAGTTCATTTGGGTTGTTTACTTACGACTTATTTGCACAAAACTTGGCTTAATCGTACAGATAGAAATGGTGTGTTGTCTCCATTCAGCCACAAAAAAGACACTTCTACCCCTTATTTAAAACACCGCCTTCTTCCCATATGAGACACACCATCTTCGGCCTCTTTATGATTTTGTTTTGATGTTCAAATAATTAATATTGGGGGGTAAATCGGTCATTTATGTTATTCAGGCTGTTGGTTCAGATAAAAAAAGTAAACAATAACATCTATTTATCTACACAGACAAATTTATACATACAGAACTTAATAAAAAAATTCGTAAACAACCCGTAAATATTAAAATATATATTTCAGATTTTGTCTATAAGATGTAACTCAATTAGTAAATAAACGGGACGACTTTATCTAAATACAGGATAATTCCCGGTTGGAACCCAAGCCCTCCGCTAACCTCAGCCAATTGAGCCAAAAAAATACCCTTCAGATTGATGTTACGGTTGCCAAAATAATGCTTTTTTCACCTTTGTAAACAATTTCATTTACAGTAACTTTGTCTTTTTCAGATTTCACTGAAAACGGACGATCTATTGTTTGGAGGGTTCGGTAGACTCGATCACAATGCAAAGTTTTTCACCTTTGTAAGCAAATTTCTTTTACTGTTTTCGTGTACTTTTCACTTGAATGGAATTCACATCCCCAGTCTTTAGACTCACTCCGAAAACTTACTGCAGGAAGGAAACTTTAATGACAGACCTCGATCGTTTTTGGTGTATGCACTATCAAGAACATCAGCAATAAAGCTAATAGTCGACGATGGAAAACCGATCCGTGTTCCGTGTTGAAAAGTAACCGCTAGCAATTTTCACAGGATGTCGTTCTTGTCATTTCTGCACATACGTGTACTTGTCGTGGTCGACCATCATAACAAAGATAACACAAACAACAAGGAAAAGTTCCAGCTATTAGCTCAATGACCTTCTTCGGAAGTTCATTTTGTAAAACAACCCTCTAGTGTATTTTTAAGTGTTTGCATCGACTGTTCTAACCAAAAGCAGACTATTTTGAACCAACGCATTTTAACAGTCATTAGAGGTTTCTCAGTGTGTTAAATTTTGGTGTGGAAAAACGGTTCGGTTTAGCCTTTTTACATATTTTCTTAAATATCTTTAAAAAATAACAATAAATAGTTTAAATATTGATTATATTATCTCACACACACACACACACACACACATATATATATATATACACACACACACTAGGATCAAACGAGAATGGTACATATTTAAAAGAACACGAAAACGGACGAATCACATATGATTTTGCTCTAACATCAGATACAAAATCACAAGTGATTCAGACGACCTTGCCCGCTTACCTGAAGACGCAGCCACAAGTCATTCAGACACTTTCTTTTACCATGTAATTTTACACATGATTTGTCCATCTTCATGTTCTTTTAAATAGGTATCATTCTCGTTTAATCTCTGTATTTTTTAATAATATTATGATATGTTGTTTTCTTGTGGATGAAGGTATGAATAGAGAGGGTGAGCTTTTAGCCCATAAAGACAATAAAAATATTGGCTGCAACTTTTGGAGAAAGATCCAACCAGACCCACTACCACTGTTGCTTCGGTGGTTAATGCGTTGCGATCGCTGTATTTATTATATTATATATTTTATTAAATAATTAAATACGTTTATTCATGAGATCTGTGAGCTCTTTGTAAGCCTTAGGTTTTGGACTATCAGTAACTTCCACCATGGTTTTAAGTTGGTTTCGATAACTACGTGTTTTATCACTTTGAAAACAAATACTACAAAAACCACTAAAAATAATAATACTGTGAAACAACATTATGCTTTCGCATGCATTGTTTCTCAAAATTTTATGGTTCTTATTTGATTATTCCTGTATTTGTATATGGGGTGAGTTAAAATGCATACTGATTTTCTTTGCATACACATCAACATCAAGACTTACTTTTTACATTCTTAATACATGATTTGATCTGATTTTAATATAAAATGATAGCTATCATATGTTAATATTGTAACGATTATAACTGATTTTTATAGTAATTTTACATGACCACTTATTTTTTTTAATTTTATTATATATTTTATATTATTTATTGTTTTAAAAAGGCCAAGATTCTGTGATAGAGTTGGTTAACCACCTAAAACAACATAAGATACTACAAATCATGTTATATGTGTGTGTGTATATATGTGTTTTGGATTATTAAGTTTACAAGATTTTTTATTTATTTATTATTATTATTATATAAATCTTTGTAATAAAAAGATCGATGTGAAAGAAAAATTAAAATAAGAAGCGTAAAAAAGAAATCTGGATATTTGATCACTTTTAATCTCATCTTTATTTCATGAATCACGCTTGATACAAGAATTGATCTGATGCATCCTCATTACTGTTGATTTTTAATTATGATTGATTCTTAGGGTCTGTTTGGCTAATGTTGAGTAATGAAAATGACATAGAATGGAAATGAGAATGAATTTTCATTCCCCCCAGTTTAACCAAAAAATAAAATTTTGGGTTTCTAGAGGAATGATCCCATTATATTATACACAACCAAATAGTTTCTTTCATTTGCATTCTCATTGATTACTGCTTAATATCTTTTACCATACACCCTCTTATACTTTTCTCACCATAACTTCTATTTTCATTGAAATCCAACCCCTTGTTATGAAAATATCATTCGATAAAATCAAAACAAGTGTTTTTCTTATGTTTGGCAAACTAGCTTCTTTACTAGCTGTTGGATCTTAAACTAATTGTTGACTGAAAAAACTTAAAATAACTGATAAAATAATCACATTTGATAAAAACTAGCTTATAAAATAAACAACTTAAAAAAATACAATATCCCATTTAGATAAAATATATAGGTGTGTATATATACATATATACATATATATATATATATATAATTAAAAAAGTAGAATTTTATATATTATAAATATTCAAATTTAAACAACAATAAATGGTAACATACGGTTGGCATGACACGAAAATGCAAATGATTGGGCATTGAAAAATGTAATTGAGGGTGTACTTTACCATCTCATGCTCACGCTTTTTATTTATTTATTTATTAATTCGCTTTTTATTTATTTATTTATTAATTTTATATTTATAAATATCCTTTTTTTAAAATAATTAATAACCTTTCTATCTATTTACTCATTAGTAATTGACTAATTGTTAGAAAATATATTTTATTAAATCCTATTTTAAAAAAGTATTATTTTATTTTTTAAAAATAATATTCGTTGAGCAAACTTTGGTTCTAAATATAAATTTCGTTGGTGAACTAT